TACTCAGCCTCTGCAATGCTTCAGATTCCAGAGTTACAATGGCCAAGTGAGCAGATGAGGGAGGAACAAAGGCCCTGTAGGCTTTGTGCAAGATTTAACAAAAAAGTTTTCATAGGAGAGTTCAGGTATACAACTTTAAAACTTGCTTCTGATGGACAGCAGTTTTACTGAGAGAAAGAAATCTGTGAAGAGGCCTATTCCCCATTCCCCTGGGCACAGATATCAGGTGTTTTAGTTTATCATTATTCAGAAGTGATCTCTCCAGCAGCTTTAGTTCTCTCAGAGATCAAAGACTAACAGACAACCATCAGAACTGAGGTTGTCCCAGAGCACAGATTCCAGAAGAAAGTAGTTCAGGGCAGGAATAATTTGAGGAGAATATTTCTGTCCACTGCTTTAAGAGACAAAGGGAATAGGGTAAAAGAGGCTCATCTGCCCACAAAAATAAATAAGTGAGCCAGGAGTGGTTGGCACATGCCTGTAATCCTAGAACTTGGGAGGCTGAGGCGGGAGGATCCCTGAGAATTTGATGCCAGACCTGGGCTATATAGTGAGTTCAAGGCCACTGAACTATATAGTGAGATCCTGTTTCAAAAACAAAAAAAAAGACTAATCTTTCATAAGATCTGGTTTTTAGGTTCAATAGATTCATCCATTTATTTAAATTCTCTGAGCCTATGTTGTTTGGAAGGTTCTTTAGGTTCAGCTTGGGGGTGTACAAGATGGTTAAGGCTCTGCCTAGTAGAACTCAGATTATCAAGTGGTAGGGTACAAACAGATAAAATATATACTATTTTATATATTATAAAATATTAGCCATCCTTGCCCTAAGAGCTTTGGAAACATCAGCATCATAATCCTTTAATCCTGTGGGGTTTGTGGCTGGTACCCCATTTTAATGACATAGGAACTGAGGCTGAGTGCAGGTAAACATAGCGCCCTACTCACTAGCCCATAAGATGCAGCATCCGTATGACTAAGCTGCTCCTCTTAGCTGAGAGGGAGGGAGTGGGCTCCAAGTAAGAGGTCACCTTTTCCCATCCCAGAATTGGGGCGGGGTTGTTTCAGGTCTATCTGGTATCAGCTTGAGTTGGTGACTCTAGGCCTGAAAGCCTGTATGGGTGGAGGTTCAGTGATAGGCTCATGGGCTGAGTGAAGCTTGACTCATTGGAGACCAGAGAGCCCAACATATAGACTCTCTTGAAATAGTGGTTCTAGGACCAGGGATTTAGTTCAGTGGTTCTGCCACCTGCCTTGCAAGCAGAAGGACCCGAGTTCAATCCCTGGTACCAAAAAAAAAAGAGTGTTTCTAGAGAGGAAGAGTGAAGAAACTCAAAACCTGTATTTATCATTTTAAGGAGGATTTGAGAAGTATGCCTCTTAATAACTTCTTCCTCTTTTTCTGCCTTTAGCCTGGTGATTTGTTGTACTTTCCCAGAGGCACCATTCATCAGGCGGATACTCCTCCAGGGCTCGCCCACTCTGCTCATGTGACCATCAGCACTTACCAGAACAAGTAAACATTCTTCCTGCTTAGCATCCTGGGACAGCTCCAAGTTACAATCACAAGTTGCAGCCACATTCACCTGAGGGAGGGGCCTCTACCTCTCAGCAAGAGATATTGCTGACAGCCATATTCTTTTGTTGTCCCATGTGTACTGTTACCCCAGCTTCACCCTGGAAGGTCATGGATCTCACTCTGTGTAGGATACTGGGAACTGCCCAAGTAAACGGTATTGTGGGTAAATCAGAGTTTTAGTCTGCCAGCCTGGGCCTGTATTCTCTGTCTCCCTCTTTAAAAAAAAAATTATTATGGATACACACACACACGCACGTGTGCACACACACATCTTGCATAATGTATTGCCATTTTAAATGTACAGTTTGTTGGTTGTGATTATATTCATACCTCTGTAGAATAATCACTACTCTGTTCTGAAGCATTTTCATCATCCCCAAATAGAAAAACTCTGGCATCTTTGAAATTTGCTCTTCTTAATTTCCAGTTTTTACAGCTCATAAAATTGAAGTAGGATAAGGAGTGGGAGCTAAAATCAGAGACAACAGTTAAAATCATGACAAGAACTGGGTTGCGTCTCTGTATAAGCTCTGTCCAAAATGTAATGACCTTGCTGTAGATCACATTAAAAACACCGGTTGTGGTTAACTCATTCATCAGGCATGCACTGGACACTGCTAGTTGCAAAAATATCAGCATTTATGTATTCATGGGGCTTTGAGAGAGCTTATACTTTGTAAATGGTATTAAGAGCAGAAGATAGACATGTATGTAGTTGCCAAACAGTATGATAAATTCAGTTGTAGGTTTACATTGATACCCATGGAGCATACTTCACTAAGCTGGGGCGTCAGAAGGTTTCAGAAATGACACCAATGCTAGTAAGTCTTAAGGATGAATAAATAAGGGTGGGTCAGAAGATCAGGGTAGGAGAGGTCATGCCAATCACAGGGGACAGCAAGTTCCCGCCTACCTTCAAAGCCCTAACTTGCAAAACAAGTTAGTACGCATATCTGTTTTTCCTCATTTGAGTTTTTAGTGTGAGATTTACCTCTAAGAGATTTACTAGAGGAAGTAGCTGGAGTTTGGCCTGTAGTTAGTGCTATAGAAGGACCAAGTAGGGGTACCCAGATGTAGAAGGACAAAGCTTTATTAGGTTTCCAAATGCCTTTTGTAACGGTGGTTAGTTTGGTTCCTTAATAAATGAGAAATAGTGTGAGGCTGGTTCAAAAAGAGTAGGGGCAATTGAGAGGGAGAGACGTAGGAACTGTAGAAGGGCCATGTCAGAGTCTGGAACCAGAAGTTCACTTTGGGGCTAGATGATTTCTGGACCTTGGCAGCCACATGCTTTGGTCCTGTGAACATGAATACATTTTCTGATGTCCCATCATTGTTACTCTGCTACTCTTTGCTCCTCGTCTCTCATCTTCCTGGTTTCCATCTCACCTCTTTCATTCTGGTTACTCTCACCATCTAATTTTCTAGTAATTGGATTTTGCTCCTTCCTTTTCCTTTACTTGTGTACTCATTGTGTTGGCTCATCATAACCTCCCTGTTTCCCTATTAGCTTTTGCTTTAGCTGTTAAGTACCTGCTCTAATACTGAGTAAAGATCTTGTAGTCTGCTCCTGGATCCGAGCCTACTCTTCTCTAGTCTGGTGGGGATGGGAAGGAACCTCCTAAGTTACAAAAGTTGCTGCCTAGGCTATGGGTGGACTCTGGATCTACATCGTATGTCTTGAACTGTGATATTAGGGCTAGAATAAAGACCGTTGCTTTCTGGAGATATTCCTGTGCTGACCCTGGGCTCCTTCAGCTACTATGGTAGAGTGAAGATCTGAGGCTTCTTCCTAACACTTCTCAAGGCAGCATTGTTGGAACATTTGGGACCTCTTGCGTAGAGCAGCAGTAGGTTGATTGGCTGTTTTACTTAAGTGTACCCTTCAAGAGATGTTATTCTTGAATTCTGTAAAGTCCTCTGAGATCTGTTCTCTTAGAAGAGCTTAGAGCACTGTTTAACTGATACTAAGTTCTGCCATGAGCTGTTGCCTTATGATTTCCATCTACTGTCATGCAGAGGAAGTGGGTATTTTATGCTAGATTTCTGCCTGTGTCCTCCAGGTTGAAGTTCAGTAAAAGATGTGAGGTCAGGGTGTCTTAAAATCACAAAGCAATAAGGCCACCACATACTGGATGCCTTGTGGAAAGAGTGTCTCAAGTAGATTTTGTCTTCTTTTGCCTCTTACCCAGAACGGAAGCAAGAGTGTTAATTTTCCTTATAGAGTGAGAAGCAGAAGTCATACTGTGAATTTCCATTTGGCACATAGCCAGCAATTTAAAATCGGTTAGTGGCACACAAAAAAATTTTAAACAAGCTAAGAAATGTTTAAAGAGAACAGCCCCACAGAGCATGGTTCTCACACTGGCACATGGTAGGAATAAATGAAGCAATTCTAACTACCCCAGAGGAAGCAAAGCTGATCAGACACTGATGCTTATTCCTAGTTCCCCCACCCCCATGGCTTCTATCCCAAAGTAACTCTTGTTAGAAATCAATTTTTTTAAAAACAGTTGATGTTGGTAGACTTTTTTTTATATGTGACAAAGGAAAATGTAACATTTAACTATTCAGATAATTACATAACCCAGAGATCTTTCTGTTACTCTAAATATATTCCTGCTGGATTTATTGCATAAATTTTTTTTCAGGGTCCTATAATGAGTGTCAAAATTCCCTGCAAAACTGTCCTCATAGGCACTTGTACTAAAACTTTGGTCCTGTGAACTTTTTATTTTATGATAGTACCTGATTAATTTTCTGGTATCTTTAAATCATGAAAGAAGCTGAGCTTCCCATCTTTAACTTCTCAAGTGAGTGCCTGGGTTGATGAAGGTGTAGGTTTTTCTGCTGAGTAATGTCAGATTAGTTGAACTCAGTACATGTGGGCAGGAAGGTTGGAACCCAATTTGGAGCTTTTGTTTTTACTGGTGGGTATTTTATGTATATTTTGTATACATTCACTGTTCTCTCTTGGTGCATGTTCTAGTTCATGGGGAGATTTCCTGTTGGACACCATTTCAGGGCTTGTGTTTGACACTGCAAAGGAAGATGTGGAGTTTCGGAGTGGAATACCATTGCAGCTGCTGATGGTAAGGAATAAAGGCAGGCAGGTAGGCATGCAGATTCCCAGGCCAGCAGAAGCCCCGCCTCCTGGGGATGCTGGGAACCTTCCCAGATGAACCTAGCTTATCTGCTGTGCTCATCTTTACGGTGGCAGAATGAATGGAGTGCTGCCTTTTATGTGGCTATTTAGTGGTGGGTGTCACTGCAAATAGCTGGGAGTGTTACACCTGAATGTATAGTTGGATACATAAATAGTTCTTCAGAACTGTAGGCTTAGCACATATAACAGTACTGGAGAAGAGACCCACTGTATACCCTTGGTGTATTCAATGACTTTACCATCCTCTTGCATTTTGAAACAGGAGTTCTATTAGGTTAGTTTTGAGAAGATAGGTGAATTAGTGCTGAGTAGAGCAAAGGTTTCTTTTACTGTCTCAAGCAGTCATCTTAGAGTAGTGACTTGATCTCTAAAGGCAGAGTTTAGACTGTGTTGTATTTCCCAGGATCCCTCTTTCTTTTCATGTATAATCCTGAAAATTGATCCTTTTTATAAACAGTTGTCAGAATTAGATGGGCAGTGGTTTCGAAGAAGCAGTAATGTTTTTAAGGGCCTGTTTGTGTCCATCCCTCACTGCTCCTGTAATGACATTAATTCAGGTCTAGTGTGTGTGTATGGTGGATATTAGGCTCAGCATATAACTGTGGGGACCCACATTGGCAGCAAGTTCTGCTGTAGTCCAGGATTGTGCTCATTATTGTTTCTAGCAGGTGGAAACATCAGCTGTTGCAACAAGATTAAGTGGCTTTCTGAGGACTCTTGCAGAACGGCTGGAGGGCACTAAAGAACTGCTTTCCTCAGACATGAAGAAGGATTTTGTTACACACAGACTGCCCCCTTACTATGTAGGAGATGGAACAGAGTTATCAACACCAGGTGGCGCTTCCTGTTTACCTCTAGATGGTTGGTGCTGGTGTGGGTATTGGAGGCTTTCCTAGCTAGCCTTCTTTTTGAAAAGGTAGAAAGAAAAAAACATTTTAGTTTTACTGTGGACCTAATTCTACCCTTAGTGTGTGTAGTTAGACTGGAGGTGTTGCACTCCATATCCAACACTTTAATGGTAACTTGAAGAGAATTTGTGTATTCCAGCATGATGAGGAACAGATACCCTGTCTTTTGGGGTAAGAAATATGTATACTTGTAGGTACTTCGCTATTCATAATCTTAAGATCTTGAACACTGAAATAATCTTGTTAGATTTAAGGCAAGGATGGGTAAAATGTTGTCAGGTGAAACAGAAGAATGTCAGGGTTGTCCTTGATCTTCTCCAAGTTTAATTGGTTTTTAGTGACTGTTTTTTTACCAAGTTAAATCCACTTTAGGAAAGAGTAGCAGTTTTTGGTTTTTTTTTTTTTCATGAACTTTATTGGATAGCTTTTGCTTGACCTATCTACACTAGATGAGCCAGGGTGATGCAGTTAGGAATTGGTGGGGTGGTGCAATTTGGAGTTGGTAAGCCCTGCAGGATCCAGGAGTGTGACAAGAAGCTGATAAAGCTTGAAAAGGTGAGTGTTGTTTGGAAGACAACATAGTTATTACAGCTCAACTGTACTTGTACCTATTTAATGTTCTTACCAACTTGTATCATTATCTAATTATATGTCTTGTCTTCACTCTAAGAATGAACTCCTGAGGATTTAAACTATACTTTTAATATCCCACAAATGTTGGCATAAGCGAATACTTGAGTGGGAGAGGGCGCCCCCTGTTTGGATTTGCCTATAGATTGTTTCATAAATAGACCTACAAGCAAAGTTGAATCTGCTGGTTTCTACTTTTGATGGGCTTTTCTTTCTTTGGGGTTTTCTAGGTGGAAAGTTACCGAGGTTGGACAGCATAGTGAGACTGCAATTTAAAGAACACATCATCCTCACAGTAGGGCCAGATCAGAGTCAATTCGTGAGTATCCAGAAGAGAAGTTTCCCTTCTTCTCCCGGTAAATCCTGCACAGGCCTTAGGTTATCAGAAGGGCTATTGTTTCCACCCTTTTCCCTTGGGAATCCATCTGTGTTTGCAGTTAAAAGTTAACAGTGTTCACATAATTCCCTGTTTTAAATGTTCCTGCCTGTTGGGTATTTCAAGGCTTGCTGTCATTCCCCTTATATGGATATATGACTGGTCTTGGCTTCTTACTCTGCTGTAGGCCATATTGCCCTTGCTTAAGACAGCAGCAGACCTGTTTGCAAGAATCGAGCCTCAGTTCCTCTTTGATCCTCTATAGTACACAGATCTATTTTTGTTTGGCTTTGATTCTTCTACCAAAAACTCTTATCCTATAAATCTTGGAGAACAGAATCTGTATCCTATAACCTTACCTCCAAGCCTGGTGATTCCCCAGGAATCAGCTGGAAACCTCTGGTAAATTCCCGACTTCATCTGATCTGGGTTATGATCAGTGTTTATGGTTTTTCAAAGGTCCCTATAAAACTATGGGAACTTTGGGAACTATCCCATACCTCCTTTTTCCTTCTAATCAGTCTTGAGAGGTACACAGTAAAGGGCCGGCAGGGGTGGGTGGGTAATGTGTCTTCCTAACCAGATGTAATGTACGGGCCATCAGGATAAGACCTGGGTAAGTCTGACATAAATTACACGATCCTACTTTATTTAGAAAATGTATCCTAGTTTCTGAAACTGAAATGTTTCATAAATCGTACAGCTGGTATTTCTCTTCAGTTAATCACTATCAATTATCAATTTTTGATGAAAAAAGTACAGATATAAAAAAACAACTGTAACCTTACCAATTGATAAGTGGTATATAAATCAAGATGCTGCCTTTTAAAAAGTGACTTCAGGTACAATATACAGGTAGTAGTTTTGTTGACTGAGGATGTACAATGTATATATATATATATATATATATATATGTACATATACATATATATATACACACACACACACCCATAGAACTTTTCACAAATGATTCCTCACAGAATTCAGTAAATTTCATTTGAGCCCCAAGACTTAAGATTTTTTTCTTGCTGTAGACCTGTTGATAAAACTGCCTAGCATTAAAGCTTGCAGTATTTTGTTGATAACACTTTACACTCGTTTTTCTTTAAAGGATGAAGCTCAAGAAAAGATGGTTTATGTTTATCATTCTCTAAGGAATAGGAGAGACACACACATGATGGGAAATGTGGAAACAGAGGTTTGTTCCACCTGAAGAAAATGTCTTTCCTGTGATTTGGGTGGTGGCTGGGAAGAACTTTATTTAAAGGTCATATGATTTTTATGGCTGCAATATGGATGTACATTTCACAGGATTGATGAGTCCTTGTAAAGGGGTGGTTAAGTCAGAAAATTCTGTGATACACATTGACCAGTATTAAAATACAGTCTTATATAGGGACCTGTAGCCTAATAGGGAAAGTAGAAATGTGAAGCATTTCTAAAATCAGAGCACTTTTCATGAAATCCAAGTATCATGTGGATGCTGGCAACTTTTTATAACTACGTTATCTAAAGTCATTATGCTGGGCATCAGAAATAATGTATTGAGAATTGTGGGAGTTATGGAAATGCTACTTTAGTGGCATAAGTTTGTTAATTTTGACTTATTTATCCCTTTCAGTCTCATGGACTTCGCTTTCCTTTCTCACATGTGGATGCACTGAAACAAATTTGGAACAGTTCGGCTATTTCTGTCAAGAATCTGAAACTAACTACAGATGAGGAAAAAGAGAACTTGGTATTATCCCTCTGGACAGAATGTTTAATCGAAGTACTTTAGTGCCTTTCCAGAAGCAAATAGGGAAGATGGAAGTGCTATGTAGTATTGTTCTGAGTCCACCCACCAAGTAAGTACTGGCCATAAACATGACTGAAGAAGAGAGTATCACCATCCCTTACAAAGCAGCATGTCTGTTAGAAATACTTGTACTAATGGGCACATGGAAGAAAAAAAAGTAAAATACTAGGTGTCCAGAATGTGACCAATCCATGCTTTTGAAAGTTTATTTAATCCAGTGTGGTAGAAAAGGCACAACTCCAATAAATGTATCATGTAGAATTCAATGTCATATCTTTTTGTTTTTTTTTTGGAATAACAACTTTAGAGCTTCTTTGGCTCTAGAAAAATTTTGAACAATTTTTAAAGTTGGATTTTTACAAGGAAAATATACACAAAGTTTCATTTAATAATACTGCCACAATCTTGAGAGGCATTCAGCATCTTCAGATACTGCTTAAAAGAGCCTGAGATCAAAAAGGGGGTTAACAACCAGTATTTACATGAAACGACCAAGCCTATAAAAATACTCAAAATAGTGGGGCTTTTTGAGTTAGAACTATTCAGTTATTTTACATTCTAAAGTGCACATAGGTTGATATTTTTAAAAATATCAGTGGATAATTTAATTTTTTAAATAAAAATAGAGCATTTTCTGGCAAAAATGGGAGATGAAAGCAACAGTTGTCTCAAGGTAAGTTTAAATATAACTAAAGAGGTAAAAGCACTTGTGAATTGTGCTATTAAAGGTCGTATTTAGATTAAGTCAAAGATGATTTCCTACCTGATTTTGTTTGAATGTGAGCTCTTTAAAATCAGAGTGAAAACTGAATTTTGTGTCGTTAAGTAGAGAAATCATCACTTTTACTTGAACAGAAAGATAGGTAAGGTCAAAGCTCAAACTGCTTTGCTTTAATTTGAACATTGGGAATTTCCTTTTACTTCAGGTAGACAAAATAATTTTGACTATTATGTAACAGTCTCTCTAAACACTTTGCCTTAAAATCAAATCAGGCAAAATCTAGGGCAAGGTCTTAGCACCAGGATAGAAACTACTGTTAAGGGTCTTATTACCTAGAAGGGTTATCTCTGTTAACATTAGATTGTAACTCTAGGGGTTGGCACTGTAAGGTTATTCAGTTTTATTGTTATTTGTAAATTGAGTAAAGAATGGCCACAGAAAATACTCCAGTATTGATGCTTTTTACATCCCTCTCTGGGGTCAGTTAAAAGTACTGTATAAATACTTACGGGGTGCTTCACTTAAAGCTTCAGTATAGAAACTTGAAGGTTTATTTAGTATAATAGCTTAATAATAAGGCTTATTAAATGTGTTTGCAGAATATTCATCATCTGTGTCAAAAGATGATGATCTCCTGTAGGATTTTATTTCCTTGTGCCTTGCACTCACAGAAGTAACCAGTATGAGGATACTGGTAACTAATACAGGTCACAATGTCACCAGTGTTCTATAATGGGTCATCAGATACAGGATGCATGTTTGCGGGGTAGGATAGAAAATACAGAATTTAGGAAACTTGCTCACCACAACTGGGATCCGTTTGAATAAAACACTTCCCAGAAATCATAACATTTTCTTCAGAGAGAGACACTTAATTAGTGGCAAGAGTCATTTTGAAATTTTCTGTGGTTGAAGAGCAGTAGTCTTGTGGTTGGGGGGAAAGTCATTCTGCTCAGGGTTCCCAGAGTGAGGACACAGTAGCTTCTTTTTTTACCATGCATAAGATAATGAGGGAGGTTGAAGTTCCTTTGCTCCTTCTAAGGATGTTGGTTCTCTCACAGTATTTCAATGTCCCATTTCTGTGTCTCTTCTCCCTCCAGAGGCTGATTTACAATGACATGAATCTTGTCATAATAATTTCCTCCTAAAATAGGAATTCCAAAAGAAAATATTATTTGTTCACATAGGTGCTTAGTAATTTCACAATTTTCACAAGCTTTTGTTCAGCCCACTTTTAAAATAGATTAATATGTCATTTACAGAGTGGTCTGAAACAAGAAACTGAGTGTGAACAGGCATAGCCATCATTCCCCTTAAATTGGGCCTTATTATGACTCAAACTGAAAAACTAAAAGATGTAATATATGTTAGAGCAAAGTGCCCTGAAAGAATTCTGGCTGGGTGTCAGATACTGTGTTTTTGTTTTTACACCAACAGTGGCTCTGACTAACCCAATTAAAGCAACAGCCATGAACAATAATGGCCCCGACCTCATTGGATTAAAAAACAAGGTTAATTGATACCCTCCATAAATTTTCACTGAGGGCTTTTAAGAACCATGGAAATTCAAGGCCAAAAAGTTAGACAAGCTTCTATGAAGCAGGTGACATTTCATTTATGGTTTATGATGCTTCTAATTAAGACTTGTTCTCAGAGTTCATGAAAATTACAGTTGGAAATGAAAATTTTATAATTTTTATTTATGAACAAAAGATAAGCCCAGAGTTGGACTTTTGCTGATTGATCCACATAGCTATTTGTTTGGTTTGTAAACTGTACATTTTAACTTTTTTCAAGCATAATTATAAGTGACTTCTCTTACATAATCAGGGTATTCTTTACCATAAAGGGGAGAACTGAACATAAATTGATATCCAGGGCATAAAACACTGTATGTTCGGAGGCCTACCTTTAACATCAAGGACAAGTTGATCACTGAGATAAGAGCTGATAGTTCCATTTTTATTCAGTCTCCACTTCTGTCTTAACTGTCCATGTTCAGTCCATAGGGCCACCTTAGCTCCAGGTGTGTCCCGGCCACCGATCACATCAAGACATGTGTCACTAGCCTGGAAAGGTTAAGAAATTAATGGCAGTAGTGTACTTGTTAAAAGTATTCAACTTGCTAAAGTACTTGGGGTCCCTTTTCTTTCAGGTGAACAGATAATACACATTATACACATTAGGTTGGCTGTGTCTTAGCTAAAAAAATATGTAATAATTTCAGTTAAAAAAATTTAAGTTTTTATGGCTAGAATTGAGATGGTTGGGAACTGAAACAGAGGCCCAAATACCTGAATTTTTTAATTATTTAATTGAGGTGCTGGGAATTGAATGCCGGGCTTTTGACTAAGCTACATTGCAGCCCTTTAATTTTTGAGACAAGGTCTTTTAAGTTGCTGAATTGCCCAACTTGGGTTCTGATTTTTAACTCTCCTGCCTCAGCCTCTCTCAATGCTAAGATTATAGGCATGCACCAATATGTCCACTTGTACTTATTAAAAGTATATGCACATCTGACAACAGATATTCAGTGAAAGTTTATTGAATTGGAATTAAATGTTAAGTCCCTGTTGGTTTAAGGTGGATTAAGAGGAGCTTAGTTTTTTTTTTTTTCTTTTTTTCTTTTTTAATAAAAATAGCCTGTGATGTGTTAAAGGACGGACAATTATTTTTATTTTGTTTTTTGTTTTTTTTTGAGACAGGGTCTCACTATGTAGTTGAGACTGACCTGGAACTCACTTTGTAGCCCAGGCTGTTCTCGAACTCACAGTGACCCTCCTGCCTCAGCCTCCCGAGTGCTGGGATTACAGGCATGCGCCACCATGCCCGGCCAATAATTATTTTTAAATACTTTTCATTTTTTGAAGCATGAGTAGATAAAATAATGATGATAGTTTTTTTATAGTAATACCTTACTCCCATAGCATCAAACATAGAATAAAACCTGTATCTTATTGTCTAAGCTTTTTCCAATAATAGCTTTTTACTTCTACTACTACTTTATTGTATATTCTGAAAACAAAAGGGTTTCAACATGTTTGGAACCACATAGACAGCTGATGCTATCTGACAAGTGAGGAATGTCTCAAAAAGCATATTGTTCTGATTCATATCCAACTGATTTAGGGGGAAGAGATGTAACTCCCAAAACTTCTAGATATCTAAAATGCGAATTCATGTTCTCTAAAATCAAAGAATGAATTCTAGGAACAACAGAGGTTAAGAGTAGGAAAAATTTATTGAGAGAAAGGAAGCTTCTAAGACAGAAGGGGGACTGGAAAAGTGGGTTGCCCACCCACCCCACTTTTCAAAGATATTTTATACAGCAAAGCCATGTGGTGAGGTGGGTACAAAGCTAACTAAAGACCCACTGGAAATTTATAAAGTGGGCATGAGGGACAAAACCATGACCAACCAATAAGATTACAAGTACAGTCACCCAGGTAATATTGATTAAATGAGGACCCAATGGGGAAACAAGTCATGTAGCAAGCATATGAGGAAGTGGGCAAGGACTTTTGGTGGAAAGGAGTGAGTCAGGAATCTTTCTAAGATCTTTGTCCCCCACTGAGGTGATTGATACCTATTACAATATTAGTCGCTGCTATTTATCCTCCACGGGTGTGGTAGTTTTTCTTTTACAGTTTGGCCTTTAGTGAATGTGTCTTGATTATCCTCTGTGTTGGCTCCTCCAGGGCTAGCCCCTGTCTTAACTGCCTAGGAGATATCTAATTAACTTACCTCTCTGCATAGTGATTTACATAACTGGTTTTAAATTTTTTTACTTAAGCATATCTACAGTATGTGACAGTTTTTACTTAAAATTTGAAATTTTTACTTAAAACTTGAAATTGCATTTTCTAGATCAAAGGATTATCCTAATTCATTTTACTTAAATGCTTTCATAACAATCAAGTAGTATTTTAGTGACCATACAACAAACTGTACCTAGGAAGTCAATTATTTTATTTATGCCAGTTGATTTGGCAAGAATCTACTTTCCAAAATAAAAATACAAAACATCAAAAAGTGGGGTACCTTGGATTTAAAGAGTCCACGACAGTAGTGCCAGATCTGAGTATTCTTTCCACTATAGGGAGAGATGCATACAGATGTTGCCCTTGTGTCAGCTAGATTTCCAGTGACTGTCAGATACTCATCCTGGGCTCGGTTCTTTATTCTGATGTACACTGCAGGCTGTAAAAGGATAAAGGAAACATTTACAAATAACTTTTGATTCTGAATATAATCCTTCAAAAAAGGAAAGCTGGGAAGTGGAGAGGCGATCTTATTTACATAACTCCACTCTTCTTCAGCTAATTATATATAAATATTTTCTGCTGATAAGTCCTTATACAACTAAGCACAAAGATTTATTATACAATCTATTTTCTGAGAAGTCCCCTTTGGAAAGAGTAAAAGGCAATTGTTTCATTCACTAGAATGGCAAGGGGGATGGCAGTGAAGCATTCAGAACTTGAGTTTCATCTGGTAATGTGTCAGAGCTTTGCTGAGAAAGGAGTGGGAATAAAGGCAAGACACCACCTACAAGGACCTTGTAACAGCATAGGGAAGACAAATGCAGTAATGTACTTTCTTGAGCTATGATGAAATATGCAAAATGACTGGTATGGAAGGTCCAGATAGCTGAGGGTCCTAGAAGATGTGGTAATCTCTTTGTTTACCTACAACATTTATAGGCTTGAAAGGAAGAGACCATGTATGCGTAATCACTACTTTTGTTATTCAGAAATCAGGTAACAAAGGACTTCATCTCCTTGGCCTAGAATATATAAAGGAAGTTTAAAAATATTAAATCTGTAACTTCTCACTAAGCATAATAGCTCATAATTATTGAGCCCTTAGTACTGTATTGTATTAAATAATATTTTCTAGTTGCCAGAATTAACCAGACTCACCCTTTCAGGAAATATAATTATGGACTTAGTTTTACAAATGTGATTAACACTGGTGTGGAGTCAGACCTGTTTGCACCAAAAACATACCTCTTAATATGACGGCTAAGGCCTATGTGGGAATATACAACTTTTTTTTTCTCTCATTGCTGAGGATTGAACCAAGGCCTCCCACACATTAAGGAAGCATTTTATCACTGAGCTATAATCCCCAACCCAGCACTAATTACTTGTAAGACAAAGGCTGGCAATGTAAGAAGACAATGAAAAGGCAGGGCATATGGTCAGAGCTCAATAGAAACCATTTCTTGAGTGCCATGTTTTAGGCCTCTAGCTTCAATGTAATAAAAACAGAACAGCCCCTCCGCTAACCGATTGTTGGCACTGAAATTAGAACCATAGCTAAGTAATAAAAAGTATGCTATTTAATAAGCACACTTAAGCACTACATCAGTACAACCTGGTATGTTTGACCATACTTTTGAAACATGACACATCAACATGAAACCAGTTAGATTTTACCAGATTTAACATTTCTAGTGAAATAAAACATTTTGAGCACTTAAATGAACAAACAGAAGGGCAAATTATTTGGTCATTTAAAGCTAGTGAACAAGGCATCTACTTGCAAAATGTTTCAAATGTTTCAACTACTTTCACATTCAAAATGTAACCCAGAATGCACTTAAAATTCTACAATTCAGTGAGGTCCCCTACAGCAATTATTAATTGTTGCTTCAGTATATCATTGTTATAAGGTCATTACTTTGTACATATAAGAAAATAGGTATGACCTTCACAAATGACAGAATTCCAATTACTGTAGAGCTGAACATCACAGTTTTAATCAATTAAATCAAGCAGGGTATTAATTACCCTTACTACATATTTGTAGTTTGACTTCACTGTAATTATACTTAAAAATACAGACATGCATTTACAAGTACCTAGGTGACTTCCTAATTCCCGATGGCAAAGAGGATTATATTTTATTCCTTAGTTTCTAAACAAGAGTATGAACCAAAGCAGTATTGATATGCTTAAAAGTTAAATGTAAAATGTAAGTAAAATGTATGTAGTTAAATGTATGTAACCTACAAATTACTATTTTAAAAACCCCAAATTCCTTTGCTGGGAAAGAATGTATTAAAACATGATTTTAAAATCTTTAATCAGCAGGAATCAGGTAGTTCCTAAAGCATAGTGCAAGAATATCATTTTTATTTGTCCAGATACTCCTTTATTTCAATATGCTGAACAGTGGGGGGGGACTTCCTTCTTTCACAGACTGGAGTCACCACTGTCAAAACTGAGGAAAATAGATCTGGTGGTGTAGTTCATTTGAGGCCTGGGCAGGGGGCAGACAGGCACACAAGAAAATACTTAGTGCTAAGTTTGGCTACTAAAGTTTTTGAAACAGGAACTAAATTACTATGTAGTAGGAAAAGCTAAACTGACTTCCTGCTTCTACCTTGCTTTTCCCTATACCTTTCCATTTGGGTTATACATCATTCCAGGGATTGAGAGAGAGGAATAAAAGCAAGATTCACAGGTCATAAGATTCTGACACCACACACTTTGTGCCAGGAAAGTCACAAATGTTTTCGTATAACTTATTAGAGCACCTGTGACTCTCAAGGGACACTGAATAATAATCTTTCAAAATATATTGCCACAGTAGCATGAGTAAGGTGTTTTGGGAAACCCTTTACATTTATTTAATCCCCACAATGAGGTATAAGCACGGGTCACTGTTTAACCAATGAGAACACTAAGGTGCCAAGAAAAGTGATTTGCCAAAATCACAGCTTGCAAATGGCAGAGCTAGGATCTGAACAAAGGGAAGGCAAGAGTGGTGGGAATGAACATGGTGTATATGCCTATGTGTGTGAAGGAGACAACAAGAGAAGATCATCAAGTGAATTTTTTATTTACAATGTGTCAGGTTCGCACTTTATAACCACTGCAGTACTCAGCTTCTTGCCTAGAATATATGGTGGCACTTTGTAAACGCTGATCTTATTTTGGAGGAAAGCATAATATGGTTGGTTAAGATCACAGACTTTAGAACATAATAGACTCAGGTTAAAATCTTGAGTCTAACGTGATTTGCTTTTATCAGTGTGCTTTACCTGTATGTGCCTTATTTTTGGAATTAGAAAATGGGAATAATAATTTCTATTCAAAGTACTTTTGTCAGAATCAAGAGACAAAATGTTTCTAAAGAGATTAGATGGCATATCCACCAGCTATCAGACCTGACAGACCTGCTTCCCATGTCACCAGACTTATAAATGTTGGTACTTTCCTCCTTGACCCAGATATTGCCTGTGGCTTTTTGATGATCATATACTGTTTTGCATTTTGTGTTAAGCTTATTTAGATACATTTACCTAACAAAAAAATATAAGCACTATTTAGGCAGAAATCATACTTATCCTTATATCTTCCATTACACATTTTATGATAGCAAACATTCATTTTACCATTTTAACATTAATTCCTTCAGATGATCCCTGAGTTCCTGCAAAATGTCAGACATTGTAACTGGTACTAGAGAATGAGTAGTAAGTAAAATATGTGTGGCCACTGCCTTGATGGAGTTTCCAGCACACTGGGAACAAGCCCAGTCCAATGGTACTTAGGTGGTTGCAAACTACATACAATGTGCTGTAGAAAAAGTTAGAATACCATTTAGACTGAGATAGGATAGAAGGTATCTGTTAGGGCCTGACACACTGAATTCAGAAGGATGACTACCCAGGTGAAGAATGACAGAGAACAATCTATGCTGGGATAGCCTTGTTTCCAGCCTGAATAGGACGGTATTCTGCACTTAGGTGCATGTGACACAGCCATGTGATTGAGGAGGAGACCCATGGAGAAGAGGTTGGAGAAGCAGAGGGAGCTGAAGAGCGTAGATTGTATCCTAAGTGCAGTGGGAAGCTTTTGAACAGTAGACTGACAAGCAGTAGGTGTGCAACAAATACTATTTTAATTAAATTGCCAGGATCCAATTTGAGTATTACATAAGTAAGTAAAAAAATCCAAATGCTAAAAAATAAAACTTATAGAGTATCAAAGTTCAATCTTGTTTCATAGTTTGCCACAGCGTTTACAATGTTACTTTTCCATGAAAAGTGAACATAGCAAATAAAAATTTGGACTCAGGGATAAAATCTAATGTAAATCTTAGATACAATCTTATGAACTGGCTAAAGCCCACAAGATTCTTGGATACTTATCCACTCCCCCTTCTACATAAATGGTAAACTAAGTGGACAATATTCAGATGCTTTGGCTTATGACCTTTTTTGCAAGACAAATGAAGCTATTTTAGATCTTGTTTCACTGTTCCTTACCTGCTTCATAGGACGAAGAGAACCAATTGTTTTCCAGCCACTGAATGCTGTCCAATTTGGGATCTCATTAGGCTCAAGTAGGATTTGTCTTCCCAAGAAATTGGATCCTTCATAAGCTATCCACCTGCAAGAAAGCAGGAAAAAATTAGTGCACTACGGAAAACCTCATTAAAAGTACCTGGTACTTTTCATTCATTCTTTCACAACTTCTAGGTTTGTAGTTTTTAAAAAATAGAACGATGTATTTATTCTAACAGAAAAAGCAGGGTTTGGATTGCACAAATACAAACTGTCATTTCCATACAAAGGCATCCACAGCCACAGACAGGCTCAACTACCTCTGCATCTTCAAAGATTCTTTAATTGGGTAGAAAAGGTGTCATTATAAAATCTAGGCAAGATTTTTAGTAACTGTGCCTCGTTATAGCTTGATCTTAATGAGTTCCACAAGTAGAAAACCTGTGTGGGATGATGTATGAAAGCATGGTCCTAGTACCTTCACATATCAAAGATAGGACATAATGGGGTTTTTTTAAAAAAAATTGCAACTTGTCACTGTGGTATCTGGTATGCACTAAATGGCATCCTGTAAACCACTTGTATAGGAAAATCTTCAGACCTCAGCATTCTTAAATCCATTTACCAATTCTCTTATATAGATCTGGATTCAATGACAGATAACTCAAAGATAATAAAGGAATTAAAATTGTATGAGTTTTCCAGAAAAGAGTAAAAATAAAGGGAGACATTTTCAATTGTATGTCAAATATATATTTCACTCCAGAATGTATAGAAAATGTATAGGAGTGTTCTGAAAATCCTATTCACAGAGATGTAAAATTCACTTCAAATGCACTCACTAAATAGAATCTTATGCTTAAGAGTGAATCAGCTTAATAAATATCAACCATGTGAAATGGTCTGTAGAAGAAAATTTAAATTGTTATACATGGAAATATTTAAAAAGCCATTTTAACAGTTGACTTTTTTAATTTAAATATGTGGCAGTCATCAACAAAAGTAATATAAAAAGTTGAGTATCACACAATTTATAAGAATTAAAACAGCCATTTTATATCAATTACTGAGAGCTATGTGTGTGTGTGTGTGTGTGTGTGTGTGTGTGTGTGTGTGTGTGTGTGTGTTTTCTCAGTTGAGTTTTGGGACCAAAACACCAGCAGTGCAGGTGGGTGGGGGGCAAGCAGATACATGTGGCAAACTTCTGAAATGACCTGAGAGGTAGACTTTCAGGAAGGAAACACAGATCCAACCTCAGGGCTGCTTGCAGACCTCTCACCATTTTTGTTATAAATAATCATGGAAGTTCAATACTAATTTCCATGTTAATAATGCCAAATTTCTTTTCCTAAAGGCAACTTCCCAAACTGTGAAAGTACAGACCCTATTCAACCTGGATCCACTCCTAACTAGTAACCTAAATGAACAAACAGTGGTAGGCAGGCTAGGTCAACCACTGCATGCCACATAAAAATGACTACACTGGAGGGAATTGCTCTAGAATAAACATGCTGTCAAAGTAGAACACAGCAGTCTTAGTCTTGAAAACAGTCACTTGCCTGAAGCAGGCAATAATCTGCACAGTTGAAATTCTCAGTTTAACAGAATTTCTCCTAAAAGAAATCTAGTTGACCTACTCTGATGTGTTATGATGAGATGGCAGCTCTTCTTTTTCCCAGGCCACTGCATGCTATTCCATAATGGAAATTGTTTAGTCTTCTCTTATTAAAACAAAAATTAATGTTACTACATTGAAAGAAAAGGAGTAAGGACATGATCAGATCAAAAGAAGAGCAATAGGAAAATACTCTTCTCTTGTACTTACAGTCCACTTTTCACCCATACAGACTGGGTGTAAAAATGCAGGTCCTTATTCAAAGCAGAGCTTACAGCCTCTTCAAGATGTAATTCTCTTCCCTCACAGTGTTCCAGGGCAAAAAGGCTGATGGAGGGCTCTTCAAACACCTAATAGCCAAAAACAGGATAAAGTGTCAGTGTGTGGAGTTAGCTATGCCTTAGTGCTATTCTAGTTGGAACACAAGGTACCCTGGGCCCATCTTATTCACAAATGCAGCATTTACTATTTTACTGTCTAAACATGTTACAGTCAAAACATCATAGGAGATCCTAGACACTACTGGTAATTTATATTCATTTTGTAAACAAGTTATCAGGAAAGTAATCTTCATCTCATAAAAATACAATAAAAAGGGACATCTAGTTTCAAATTACACATTAAGGTCTCGTGTCATAATAGAGACCATACACTGATGTTGCATGTGCTTTTAGCTGGCAACAGAATGGACCAAAATGGTACCCTCATTTCTCAAGATATCAAACTAGTCCCTGGAATGCAAGACCTCATGGATCTGTGCTCTTAAATACATTTCAAGGAAGGAGATAAAAAGCACAGGAACAGGGTAATTTCTTCATTAAAATTATTAGCTCTCATGAGAAATGAATGGAATTAATTAGGCTCTTTTTCATTCATTAGTACACGAAAAGCACTATAATAGATTTCTGGGGGATAAATCAAAACAAGGCACCATCATTATGTTGGGCATTACTAACTAGTAGCTAATTTAGGATTACACAGATATAATAATGTAATTCAGGGTATAAAAAATACATCCAGTTAGAGTACTCAGGCCAGATCATTTTAGTAGCTGGAAAGGAATCGAGGAAGCTGTATGTACATGGTGGTGTAAACTCAGTGTCAAAGGATACAAGAGATTTGAAGGCCCCATAGAGAATAGAGGAAGGCACTTTACAAACCAAGGGAGACAGAAATGGACGTGTTAGACTAGTTTTCTAGAAAAGAGGCCAGCGTCAAGTGCTTCCACTGTTTTCACTGTTCATTGAGCTGCCTCCTTCTCTTCATCACATTGACAAGGCAGAGACAGATTAATTTTTAAGGGGTGTCCTTGAAAGTTTTTTAAGTAAGAACTAAGATTGGGCTGAAATGTATATAACTAGAGATATAGAAGCAGCACATTAGAACCATCAAAAAACTAGCTCCCACCAGAGGCCTGCAGATACATTTGCAAGAGCAAAATGACTTTGAAGGAGTTTTTTCTTATATCAGTGTTTGGAATAGTGAAAAATAGGGAATCATTTACATGCCCTTCAAGAGAAACTGGTTAAATAAATCATGGTGCATTCATGGGAATTTTACACAGCTATTTTAAAAAAAATCTCTTCATGGAATGATTGCCAAGTTCTTCAGTGGGAAATACAAAGTAAGAATAGTGTAAACTAGCTTATTTCATATGCTCCCACTTATAGAAAAGGAAAGTTTATGCATCTATATGTAGGTGCTTGTATGCACATTAAAATTTTCTGAAAAATAAATATAAATCATTATTCAGGACTATCAGTTGGGAATACAGCAACTTTTGTGAGTTTTTCTTAAAATGGCCTTCAGGCATTTTATCTGGCAACATGAGTGAAGAATAGAAAGGCAGGAAAAAAAACAGTACCAGCATATTGACAGAATATTTGAAGACAAAGAACCAGACCTGAAACTGGAGATAGGCAAGGTTAGAAGAAGGCCTGAAAAACAATCACAGTGATAGAGTGAACATGCTAAGGCTAACATGGAATAAGCAATGGAAGGAAGGTAGAAAGTTGTGGCTGGGAGCATGGTGATATGCACTTCCCGTGAAATAAAAGGTCAGGAAATTGATGCTAAAAATTTTCCATTTACAATAGGGAAGTACATGAGTAAACTTCTCATTAGATTATGTGACCAAGGCTGCTGCTGTTCATCAGAGGTCTTAGGAACAGTCTGCTATAACTGTCTGCAGCAGTAGAATTGGTATATATATGTACTCTCCAATATGGCAGCCACTAGCCAAATGTGGCCAATGAACCTGATATGTTGTTCATATTCATGTGACTTAAGGGCCTGACTTCACTTTACTTAATTTAAATTTAAATAGCCATATATGCCTAGTGCTAAGGTAATGGGTAGTGTAGATCTAGGGAAAAGAGGTCATTGAAAAAGAATATAACAACCACTAGCAGTAAGACAGTAACCTGAAAGTGAAAAGCCCACCAAGAAGAATTGATTTTTCCCTAGGTAAATATCACTGACAAGGCTAGGAACAGAAATTCCTGAGTCACTGAGTGACCACAAACAAGATCAGGCTTCTCTCCTGCTATCTGTGAAATAAAAATTAGATGTATTCGAACAGTTCATAGAATAAACTCAAAGTGACTACAAAAGTGAGACAATCAAAATCTTCACGTAATCCTGATTGTTGGGCTTTTACCATCATCCTCATCCTCAAGTTTTTTAGACAGCATATCAGCTTACCATTACCAGTACATCTGCTTTTTGAGTTATTGATTAGTGAAAAAAGACAGATACACAAGGAACTGGGAAATGGGTCACAATCAGCAACACTCCCCAGTGAAGCGTTGGACACCCACATGAAAGGTTTAATCATCACATGATACAACTTTTGTATCCCAAAGGAGAGAATATTAAAAGCCTACTATGAAATGTAATTTGAATGCTTTGTATTATTCTAAGCAAAAGAGAACAATCTATGCATTCATCCTTTTTGTGTGTGTGTGTGTGTGTGTGTGTGAAATGCCCACAAAGATAGTTTTCAAAAGGTTGCTACTATAAGATTACTGACATTGAGAAATGGGAAGAAAGGAGCTAAAGGTGTAGGGAAGGTGGGACGGGCAGGGGAAGGGTAAAAAGGGAAAAGAAAAAAATGTGAGATAATGAAAAGATGGAAACAAAGTGTTTGTAGATGGGGAGGGGAGGAGAGGGTGAAGGGAGGGCAGGGACAAGGGGAAAAAATGAGAACCAAGACCTGTCATGTAGAGGTACAAGATCCCAACAATGAATGTAACTGTACTGTATCCCTAAAATGTACCAATAAACTCAATTAAAGCTGAAAAAAAAAAAAAGTTGCTGCTGACAATCAGACTCCCTTGACCTGCAATTATAGATTTAGAAATTTATCCTAAGGAAACAAGAAAAGTCTGACAGAACCACAAAAGTTATTTAAATATCTGTTTTTTAAAAATATGAAACAGGGGATAGGGTATTTAGCTCAGTAGTTCCACCTGTCTGCCTCGCAAGCACAAGGACCAGAGTTCAATTCCTGGTACAACAAAATGAGCCAGACATGGCAGCAAATACCTATGGTTTTAGCATTTTTGGGAGGCTGTGTTTGAACCCATCCTGGGTAATTTAGTGACTTTTAGTAAGACTTTGTCTCAAAACAAAAAAGAGGCTGGGCAGGTAACAGGGTGAAGACACTGTGTTACATCCTCAGTGAGGCGGTGTTGTGGGGGCGGCGGCAAAGAAATAAGATAAGGACATTGAGAAAAAAAATGAAAATGTTTAAGATGATATTTTTTAAAAATTTAAGAATATATAAATCAGTAAGTACTTAAACTTATTAGACAAATTGACAAGAAACATAAGGCAGAAGCATTAATAAAAGGATATCAATAAACTCAAAGCTGAAAAAAATAAAATAAAAGGCTATCATCACGTAGTCCAAACTATCATATTTTACATTTGATTATTAGTATTTCTAAACTGAAAGGTTCCCCCTCTGAATGTTTGATGTGTATATTTAATATTCTTCAAATTTAACCTGTTTCCATTTATAAATACATTTAAATTTATAAATGCACTTGATTTATAAATGTTCTGAAAAGTTAGAAAAATTAGGAAGGTCAACGTAACACTTAGGATAATGGGGTGTACTTGCATAAAGAATGTTGAACTGTTTTAGAAATCATATTTTTCTGATACATTTCCCAAATAAAGTAGGAAGACATATAAAAATATTCAAAACTGAACATGACAAGAGTGATCTGAACTTTCCAAGGAAAATATGAACTACTGGAATTTTATTACAATTTGAGTTTTACAAATGTCATGGCCTCCATCCATGTTAAATAATGGAGGCCATATGAAGTTAAAGGTTCTTAGGTATCAGTGCTAACAGGACATTTCTGCCATGCAAAGAGGATAGGCTTCTAAAAAGACATGGTTATGAAAGAAAAAGAATATTTGAATGAATTATATAAATGAAAAATTTTAAACATTTTAATTAAAAATTTAAGTCGTCCCTTCTTTACCTTAACAACTAAAATAATATTTAAATGACAATAACCAGTAAGAACAATTAACCCATATAATGCTTAATATGTGCTTAGTATTGTTTTATGTGATGACCTATTAAAACACTGCTGAGCACTTACGTGCCAAAGCTTCACATGCATCAGCTCACTTTATTAGGGGACAGAGTTGAAGCTTAGAGTGGTCACATACATGCTCAGAGTCATTCAGATTCTATTCAGGACTTGAACCAAGGTTGACCAGGCACCAAATGAAACTTCACCAGCAATTATAGTGTTTCTTACTGAGCCTCTTCTTTGGCCTAGAAAATCAGTTTCAGTATTGATCTGCCTTTCTTATGGACTTTCTTTTAAGCAATTGTAATACTTTCCAAAAAGAAAAATAACAATATACGATCATGTGCCCGATACTGAGGAATATTATACTTTAATTTTACATTTATATATTTTATTGCTAATTGGCACATAATGTGTACATACTGAGGTAAAGATGTGATGATAATCTGATGCATGTATACAATGTGCAACAATCACCAGAGTTAACAGCATTTCCATCTATTTAAATACTTATTTTGTGTGTGTGTTGGGAATCAGAATTCCTCTCTTCTAGCTCTTTATCAAATATATATTATTGTAAAATTAGTAAAAATATGAAAAATATATACCAACTATTTTAAAAATAAAAAATATCAAATCCAGCCAAATTTAAATTCCCCATTCTCTAGAAGAAACCACTATGCTGAAGTTGTTGTAAATCTTTGCAGCTCATATACTCATTTATAATTCTATTAATAGTTATGAATCCTTTGTTTTTAAAACTTATAGAAATGTTACTATAATCTTTAGTTTTT